TTTACGGTGCTTAACAATGACGTAACAGATATTTCAGGGGCATTGTCATTGACGTCTAAAACTTCAATTAATAATTTGGCATGTGAGGTCATAGGTGACGAAGCTCCATCACTGGCTTGTACTCGAATCTCAAAAGCATTATTTTCTTCAAAGTCGATATTCTTTTTATTTGTTACTGTCCCAGTTTTTTCATCTATAGCAAACAGATCAGGTTGTTTCCCTCTGCCTACTTTACTGAACGATAATAAAACATGTCCATTTTGACCTGCATCCAGATCAGTAGCATTTAATGTTATTATTGACGTGCCTATCTTTACATTTTCATACACACTGGCTTTATACAGAGTTTGACTGAATATAGGAGCGTTATCATTAATGTCCAGCACATTAACTATAATCACCATAGTGCCAGATTTAGCAGGAGTTCCTCCATCAATAGCAGTCAGTGTGAGTTGGATCACAGACTGTTTTTCTCTGTCTAAAACTTTCTGAAGCTGTAGTTCGGGAGATATACTCTCTCCTTTATGTGTGACGAGAGAGAAGTGTTCATTTTGGCTCAGCTTGTAGTTATTTACAGTATTTTTTCCGACGTCTGCATCGTCAGCAGGATGCAGAGGAAATTTAGCCCCTGCTGCTGTGTTCTCACTAATGTCGATTACCTGCGAGCTGCTCAGAAATGACGGGGAATTATCATTCACGTCTAAGATGACAACTTCAATCCGGTACAGTTTTAAAGGGTTATTAATCACTGCTTCTACACCGAGGGAACATTTTGGTTCATCGCCGCAGAGTTCCTCTCGATCTATCCTCTCATTAACATACAGGACACCAGTCTTTAGATTTACCTCGAAATATTTTCTCTTTGATCCAGCAACGATCTGAAACATGCGGGACTCCAAATCCTGGACATTGATGTTGAGATCTTTGGCGATATTTCCGACAACAGTCCCCAGATTCACCTCCTCTGAGACGGAGTAAGAGAGCTGCCCAGACACCGCTTCCCAGTAACAATCCAGCAGCACGAACAGGAGATATATCCACACACAGCTCCTTCTGCTCGGCAAATGCATTATTCCACACATCGAGAAGGAGCATATGGGCAAACTAGAACAACATGTTACAACGACCACAAGAACAAAATCAAGGAAGAAGTATTCCAATTAAATATTTTGGCATTTCCACGAGCAAACAAGACGACCGTTCTTTGTGGCCCGACGTCTCTTTGTAACAAAGCCCACAGATGCATGATCCGCTGACTGGGAGGAGCCCTGAGCTAATAAAGAAACCGTCCAAATGTGATGGTCTATAGTGTCCCCATGTGGACATACGTCATAATTACATGCTACATCAAACTTCATCACATCAGAAATATGTACATACTCGATTCCCTCTAAACACGAGGCAATGCAAAAACATCAAAGAGTCAAATTATAAAGGAAAACGTTTGGCACACTGATTTCTGCAATTCATATAATATGACAAACCTATTCAGAAACAGCATCCTTTAGAAATTAACCGTTATTTAAAGCAAAAGCTTTTCAGAATGACAGCGAGTTATTTTTATGTGGTAAATGCTGAAATACCATCTGTGACTTTTTTTCTATCTAAAAATCAAAGTCAATATAAAGAGTGGATCAAAAGTTTTCTTGAGGGTAAATTATGAAATTACTCACATAATGTTGAAAAGTTGTAACCAAAAATATGTGTGAATGCACTGAAAACACTGTGCACCTAAACAACATACTTGTTTTGCACCCTGTTATGGGAACTGAAAGTTGAGTTCAGCACCACGGATAGCGACTCACACAGAGATTACTAGTCAGCAGCCAAATCCACTGAAAGTTAGACACTATCAACTTATGAACAGCAAGCTACAGTGTATGTAAATAACATCGCGGTTTCTTGATAGTTACGTGGCACAACGTAACCATCCGTAACCGTTAGTGTAACAACGCATATTTAATGAGGAAAACAATCCTGAAGTGATATTAGTTGCTTTTTCTTACCTTTTTTTCATTGGGTAAAGTCTGAGTTCTGGTAAAAGTGTCTCCTCCGTTAATACTGATCAGCTCCGCATCTACAGGCGGAAACGGTGCGGGGAAAACCACTACGTCACTCTTGAGTGTGTCCGAGCTGAAACACACGTCATACTGCTGAGTAGCTTTGGAGTAAGACCAGCTCCCGTCAGGGTGGGTGGTGATCATTGGGGCGCTGTACCTGCTGAAAGTGCCGTCTGTCCTGTGGCATTTGACAGCTATTAAACTGATGAGGCTGAGCAGAAAGATGACTGACACCGACACAATGGCGATCAGCAGATACAGGTTCAGCGCAGAGAAGCTGTCCTCCTTTATGGGCACATGTCTGAACTGAGTCTGGATGTCAGCTGTGCTCTCAACCACCACCACCTCAATAGACACAGTAGCTGACAGGGAGGGTTCTCCGTTATCAGACACCAACACCACCAAGGGGTGAGTTTTCAGGTCATTGTCACTCATTCTCCTCTTAGTCCTGATTTCTCCGGTGCTGGTTCCGATGCGGAAGAGGTTGTTTCCTTTGGGCTCAGAGAGGTGATAAGAGAGCAGCGCATTGTATCCAGAGTCTGCGTCTACAGCCCTGATCTTTGCCACAAAGTATCCCGCTTCAGCAGAATAGGGGATGCTCTCACTGTTAACGGAGCCGTGCTCAGAATATGGCGCGAGAATTGTTGGATTATTGTCATTTTCATCCAGGATTAAAACGTTGACAGTCACGTTGCTGCTGAGCGGAGGAACACCAGAGTCTGTGGCCTGAACTTTAAACTGAAATGTTTTCAACTCCTCATAGTTAAAAGACTGCAGGCTGACTATATCTCCAGTCTCTGAGTTGATGTTCAACATTGTAGATAACGGCAGTGAGTTACTGTTACTTTCTACAATTGAATAGCTCACCTGTGCATTTTGATCAGTGTCTGCATCAACAGCAGAAACTCTTTTCAGCATCGCTCCAACAGGACTGTTCTCTTTTAAATACATATTGACCACAGTGTCTGAGAAACGAGGCGAGTTATCATTGACATCAGAAATATAAACCGTGAGATCACTGGTGCTGGTGAGAGCAGGGGTTCCATCATCTGTAGCTATGATGGTGACATTATAATGTGAAGCACTCTCTCTGTCTAGTTGTCCGTCTACTACCAAAGAGTAATAGTTTTTATAATTTGTTTCCAATTTAAAGGGGCTGTCATTTTTAATATCGCAATGAACTGCTCCATTTTTACCTCCATCTCGGTCCAGAACTGACACAAGTGCAACAGCAGTGCCTATTTTTGCATCTTCTTTCACTCTGTTGATTAGTGATGTCACAGATATCTCAGGAGTATTGTCATTTAAATCCAACACCTCTATTAGTATTTTGCACTGTGCTGCCATTGGAGGAGAGCCTTTGTCACTAGCTTGCACGCGGATTTCAAAAGCCGGGTGCTCTTCAAAGTCAATCTTTCCTTTAACAGTTATTAAACCTGTGAGCTCATCAATTTGGAATATTTCCAAAACATGGTCCTGATCTTTGCTGCTAAATGAATATGAAATCTCCCCGTTTGGCCCTTCATCAGCGTCTGTTGCTGTTACTGTTATTACTGATGTCCCAACTGGAACATTCTCAGTAATACTTGTTTTATACAATGGTTTGGTAAATTTTGGGTTGTTATCATTAACGTCTAAGACATTGATTATGATCTGTGATGTTCCGGATTTTGGAGGTGTCCCTCCGTCTACAGCAGTCATTGTGAGTTTAATTACAGTCTGTTTCTCTCGGTCTAAAGGTTTCTGGAGGACTAGCTCAGTTGACACAGTATCTCCTTTGTTCACCGATAAAGAAAAATGGTCATTCTGAATTAGTTTGTATGTATTGATACCATTTTTTTCAACATCAGCGTCATAGGCGGACAGCACAAGAAATTTAGTCCCAGACAGTGTGTTTTCTGCTATTTCAATACTTTGCGATTTAGCAGTGAAAGACGGAGAATTGTCATTAACATCTAGAATATTTATTTCTAAACGATAAAGCTTCAGTGGAGCATTTATCACAGCCTCTACACTCACTGTGCATTTCGTTGCCTTCGCACAGAGCTCCTCTCTGTCTATTCTATCACTGACAAAGAGAACACCAGTCTTCAGGTTTACCTCGAAAATCTTTTTTTTTGATCCGGCAACAATCTGAAACATACGAGACTCCAGATCATCGACACTGAGATTTAGATCTTTGGCTATATTTCCTACAGAAGTCCCCGGATTCACCTCCTCTTATATGGAGTAGGAGAGCTGCCCGTACACCGCTTCCCAATAACAATCCAGCAGAACAAATAACACGTATGCCACCACAGGACTCCTGTTAATCGAAGTCATAATCCAATCCGACGTGAATCCAACATAGAAAAAGTTTTATGGATGTCGAGTGTTGACCCAAACTGTGTTTCCTTTTCTTCTAATTTATCCACAATGCAGAAAACGTCTCAGCCTCCTCTGTGTGCTTCTGCGTCTCTTTGTGTCACAGCCCAACAAGACATCATCACGCTCCTCATCGAGGAGGGGCCTCGGGATTTGAATAAAGTAGTGTCTGTGTTATGGTCTACAGCGCCCCCTTATGGCCTTGTGGACCAATTACATCACAAGACAGGAAAAAAACAGTCTAACATTGCACACACCATCTCTCAGTTGATGCTCAGCATAAAAACATGGCCAATGTTAATATGAACAGAAAGACAGAAAATATTAGGTTATATTCTTTGAAAAATACTTAACAAACTGGTCGTCATATTTGGTACAAAGCAATGTTTTCTGTATTTCCTAATTATGTATTTGCAATCATGTATTTCGTTATTTCTAAGTGAGGGTCATCTCATCTGTTTGTGGTTGGCATGCGCATCCCTTTAACTAAAATGTAATCCAGGCAATTATTTTAAATACGCCGTTAATGCCATAGCCCTCACAGGGTCTTTGTTGATATTCTCAGACTAAACGCCATTAAGCGAACTGAAAGAATTGGCAGGAAAATAAGACAAATACCTAAGAATATTTAAGAAGATATTGGAAAATTAGTCTCTTATATTGCAATCAACTATCAAATCTATGATGCATACTCTGCGCCCCAAGCAGCGAACTCTGTGTATCAGCGCAATTGTCAAAGAAGAAATGATGAAAGTGACAATTGGCAACTGATCAAAAAACACATGTATGAATTGCAATGCAGTATTGTTGTTAATTATGGTCAAGAGGTATGAAATCAACCTTTCTTTCTATGTTAAAAAAAACCCCAGCAATACCAGCACAAGTTTCATTTCGGGTTTACGCTTCCCCTCTTCGGCACCATGGACAGCGATACTGCATTTAGATTGTAAGGACTGGTTTACATGTTTTAGACGATGTCAGATTCAAAAGGTCACCATTACCATGGGAGAAAATGTAGGAAACCATTTTCCAAAACACTTGTTACGTGTCAACACATAGACTAAGATACATATACAAAAAGGAAAGAAAAACTAACGACCTACTAAATACACAAAGAGCAAACAAGCCCAGCGTTTAGTGACACCAGCAATATTGTTTCTAAAACATTATAAACGTGCTGTTCTTACCTTTTCTTTGTTGGGTAAAGTCTGAGTTCTGGTAAAAGTGTCTCCTCCATTAATACTGATCAGCTCAGCATCTACAGGCGGAAACGGTGCGGGGAAAACCACTACGTCACTCTTGAGTGTGTCTGAGCTGAAACACACGTCATACTGCTGAGTAGCTTTGGAGTAAGACCAGCTCCCGTCAGGGTGGGTGGTGATCATTGGGGCGCTGTACCTGCTGAAAGTGCCGTCTGTCCTGTGGCATTTGACAGCTATTAAACTGATGAGGCTGAGCAGAAAGATGACTGACACCGACACAATGGCGATCAGCAGATACAGGTTCAGCGCAGAGAAGCTGTCCTCCTTTATGGGCACATGTCTGAACTGAGTCTGGATGTCAGCTGTGCTCTCAACCACCACCACCTCAATAGACACAGTAGCTGACAGGGAGGGTTCTCCGTTATCAGACACCAACACCACCAAGGGGTGAGTTTTCAGGTCATTGTCACTCATTCTCCTCTTAGTCCTGATTTCTCCGGTGCTGGTTCCGATGCGGAAGAGGTTGTTTCCTTTGGGCTCAGAGAGGTGATAAGAGAGCAGCGCATTGTATCCAGAGTCTGCGTCTACAGCCCTGATCTTTGCCACAAAGTATCCCGCTTCAGCAGAATAGGGGATGCTCTCACTGTTAACGGAGCCGTGCTCAGAATATGGCGCGAGAATTGTTGGATTATTGTCATTTTCATCCAGAATTAAAACGTTGACAGTCACGTTGCTGCTGAGCGGAGGAACACCAGAGTCTGTGGCCTGAACTTTAAACTGAAACGTTTTCAACTCCTCATAGTTAAAAGACTGCAGGCTGACTATATCTCCAGTCTCTGAGTTGATGTTCACCATTGTAGATAACGGCAGTGAGTTACTGTTACTTTGTAAAACTGAATAGCTCACCTGACCATTCTGATCGATGTCTGCATCAATTGCTGAAACTGTTTTTAAAACTACTCCTACTGGACTGTTTTCTTTCACATAGACATTGATTATGTTTTCTGTGAATAGAGGTTTGTTATCATTGACATCTGAGACGTGGACATTAATGACGCTCGTGCTGGAGAGAGGTGGGCTGCCCTCATCAGTAGCAGTGATGCTGATGTTGTATTCAGCTGAGCTCTCTCTGTCCAGAGGACCGTCCACCACCAACGAGTAGTAATTCTTATGATTTGACTCTAATTTGAAAGGGACATTATTGGAGATTTTACAGTTCACCATCCCATTTTTACCTCCGTCTTTATCAGATACTGAAACTAGTGCAATGGCGGTGCCAATGGACGCATCCTCTTTCACGGTGTTTAACAATGACGTAACAGATATTTCAGGGGCATTGTCATTGACGTCTAAAACCTCAATTAATAATTTGGCATTTGAAGTGAGAGGAGAAGAGGCTCCATCACTGGCTTGTACTCGAATCTCAAAAGCATTATTTTCTTCAAAGTCGATATTCTTTTTATTTGTTACAGTTCCAGTTTTTTCATCTATAGCAAACAGATCGGTTTGTTTTCCCCGGCCTACCTCACTGAAAGAATACACAACTTGTCCATTCTGACCTGCATCTAAATCAGTAGCATTTAATGTTATTATGGATGTACCTACCTTCACATTCTCATACACACTGGCTTTGTACAGAGTTTGACTGAATATAGGAGCGTTATCATTTATGTCCAATACATTTACCACAATTACCATAGTGCCAGATTTAACAGGACTTCCTCCATCAAGAGCAGTTAGTGTGAGTCGGATCACAGACTGTTTTTCTCTGTCTAAAACTTTCTGAACCTGTAATTCTACAGTTACACTCTCCCCTTTATGTGTGACGAGAGAGAAGTGTTCATTTTGGCTCAGCTTGTAGCTGTTTACAGTATTTTTACCGACGTCTGCATCGTGAGCAGGATGCAGAGGAAATTTAGCTCCTGCTGCCGTGCTCTCACTAATGTTAATTATCTGGGACGTTCTTAAAAATGACGGGGAATTATCATTTACATCCAAGATTATAATTTCAATCCGGTACAGTTTTAAAGGGTTATTAATCACTGCTTCTACACTGAGGGAACATTTCTGTTCGTTGCCGCAGAGTTCCTCTCGATCTATCCTCTCATTAACATACAGGACACCAGTCTTTAGATTTACCTCGAAATATTTTCTCTTTGATCCAGCAACGATCTGAAACATGCGGGACTCCAAATCCTGCACATTGATGTTGAGATCTTTAGCGATATTTCCGACAACAGTCCCCAGATTCACCTCCTCTGAGACGGAGTAAGAGAGCTGCCCAGACACCGCTTCCCAGTAACAATCCAGCAGCACGAACAGGAGATATATCCACACACAGCTCCTTCTGCTCGACAAATGCATCATTCCACACATCGAGAGACGGCATAAACATTGATTTGGCTGATAAGGTCACTCATATGGATGCATTAAACAGCATCACGAAACCTACTAAATTAATTTATCGGTATATATGCAGTACAATAGGAAAATGGTGGTCGCACCGTCCTCTTTCGCTCCCCGAGTCTCTTTGTTTGAATCGCCTGAGAAACATCATCATCCTCTGAATCTGGGAGGAGCCCCGTGCTACCAAAGAGTTAGTTCAAATGTGACGGTCTACAATGTCGTCATGTGGACACTTGCGAGAACTACATTCAACATACAGACACTAATATTAGCAGACCTTTACACTCTTAATTTCCACTTGAACATGTAGCTAAACCATTTCATAACTCAAAGAAGAATTGGCTTAACTGCCTAATTTATCACAGTGATAATTTCGATTAAAACTTCATATGTTTGTATTTTTTTAACAAAATGACCTGTTTTCGACACTAAGTCAAAACTTCACGAGACAACTAATGTGGTTAATGAAGGTTTTTTTTTTTTTTTTAAATCAACATTCCAGAAAGATGGTTTATTCAGCACACCAACAAAAACCCGCTTTCTTCAGAAGCCAGACACGAATAAAGGGAAAAGAAACACAATCAAACTAAAGACAAAGTATGTATCTTCACAAATACATTGCTAATGTTTGAGCCAGTATGAAAGCCTAATTTCTATGAGATCAGGGTTGAAAATGATTTACAATTTTGTCCTGCGGTTTGGAAACCAGAAACATGCGTTCAGCACCATGGATAGCGACATTCACATTCATAAAAGCAGCTCAGCAGAAAGTCATGACTGAGATCACTAATTCAACACATTTACAATATGTCTTTTTATGTCAAGATACTCAAGAAATTTTGAATATTTCTACAGTATATTAACTCAAACTCAAATCAGTACTTTTTTCTAATGGCACATAGGGCTTTGCAAAGGACTGTAAGTAAAACGGCATCTATTCCCACCCAGTTCTCAACATAGGTGTAGTGTAATAAAATGTCAAGCATGTGACACTATTATATTCTTACCTTTTCTTTGTTGGGTAAAGTCTGAGTTCTGGTAAAAGTGTCTCCTCCGTTAATACTGATCAGCTCTGCATCTACAGGCGGAAACGGTGCGGGGAAAACCACTACGTCACTCTTGAGTGTGTCTGAGCTGAAACACACGTCATACTGCTGAGTAGCTTTGGAGTAAGACCAGCTCCCGTCAGGGTGGGTGGAGATCATTGGGGCGCTGTACCTGCTGAAAGTGCCGTCTGTCCTGTGGCATTTGACAGCTATTAAACTGATGAGGCTGAGCAGAAAGATGACTGACACCGACACAATGGCGATCAGCAGATACAGGTTCAGCGCAGAGAAACTGTCCTCCTTTATGGGCACATGTCTGAACTGAGTCTGGATGTCAGCTGTGCTCTCAACCACCACCACCTCAATAGACACAGTAGCTGACAGGGAGGGTTCTCCGTTATCAGACACCAACACCACCAAGGGGTGAGTTTTCAGGTCATTGTCACTCATTCTCCTCTTAGTCCTGATTTCTCCGGTGCTGGTTCCGATGCGGAAGAGGTTGTTTCCTTTGGGCTCAGAGAGGTGATAAGAGAGCAGCGCATTGTATCCAGAGTCTGCGTCTACAGCCCTGATCTTTGCCACAAAGTATCCCGCTTCAGCAGAATAGGGGATGCTCTCACTGTTAACGGAGCCGTGCTCAGAATATGGCGCGAGAATTGTTGGATTATTGTCATTTTCATCCAGAATTAAAACGTTGACAGTCACGTTGCTGCTGAGCGGAGGAACACCAGAGTCTGTGGCCTGAACTTTAAACTGAAACGTTTTCAACTCCTCATAGTTAAAAGACTGCAGGCTGACTATATCTCCAGTCTCTGAGTTGATGTTCACCATTGTAGATAACGGCAGTGAGTTACTGTTACTTTGTAAAACTGAATAGCTCACCTGACCATTCTGATCGACGTCAGCATCGATTGCTGAAACAGTTTTTAAAACTGCTCCTACTGGACTGTTTTCTTTCACAAAGACATTGATTATGTTTTCTGTGAATAGAGGTTTGTTATCATTCACATCTGAGACGTGGACATTAATGACGCTCGTGCTAGAGAGAGGTGGGCTGCCCTCATCAGTAGCAGTGATGCTGATGTTGTATTCAGCTGAGGTCTCTCTGTCCAGAGGACCGTCCACCACCAACGAGTAGTAATTCTTATAATTTGACTCTAATTTAAAAGGGACATTATTTGAAATCCTACAGTTCACCATCGCATTTTTACCTCCGTCTTTATCAGATACTGAAACTAGTGCAATGGCGGTGCCAATGGACGCATCCTCCTTTACGGTGCTTAACAATGACGTAACAGATATTTCAGGGGCATTGTCATTGACGTCTAAAACTTCAATTAATAATTTGGCATGTGAGGTCATAGGTGACGAAGCTCCATCACTGGCTTGTACTCGAATCTCAAAAGCATTATTTTCTTCAAAGTCGATATTCTTTTTATTTGTTACTGTCCCAGTTTTTTCATCTATAGCAAACAGATCAGGTTGTTTCCCTCTGCCTACTTTACTGAACGATAATAAAACATGTCCATTTTGACCTGCATCCAGATCAGTAGCATTTAATGTTATTATTGACGTGCCTATCTTTACATTTTCATACACACTGGCTTTATACAGAGTTTGACTGAATATAGGAGCGTTATCATTAATGTCCAGCACATTAACTATAATCACCATAGTGCCAGATTTAGCAGGAGTTCCTCCATCAATAGCAGTCAGTGTGAGTTGGATCACAGACTGTTTTTCTCTGTCTAAAACTTTCTGAAGCTGTAGTTCGGGAGATATACTCTCTCCTTTATGTGTGACGAGAGAGAAGTGTTCATTTTGGCTCAGCTTGTAGTTATTTACAGTATTTTTTCCGACGTCTGCATCGTCAGCAGGATGCAGAGGAAATTTAGCCCCTGCTGCTGTGTTCTCACTAATGTCGATTACCTGCGAGCTGCTCAGAAATGACGGGGAATTATCATTCACGTCTAAGATGACAACTTCAATCCGGTACAGTTTTAAAGGGTTATTAATCACTGCTTCTACACTGAGGGAACATTTTTGTTCTTTGCCGCAGAGTTCCTCTCGATCTATCCTCTCATTAACATACAGGACACCAGTCTTTAGATTTACCTCGAAATATTTTCTCTTTGATCCAGCAACGATCTGAAACATGCGGGACTCCAAATCCTGTACATTGATGTTGAGATCTTTTGCGATATTTCCGACAACAGTCCCCAGATTCACCTCCTCTGAGACGGAGTAAGAGAGCTGCCCAGACACCGCTTCCCAGTAACAATCCAGCAGCACGAATAGGAGATATATCCACACACAGCTCTTTCTGCCCGGCAAATGCATTATTCCACACATCGAGAGACGTCATGCAGACAAATTCTAAAGTAGATTCACAACAATAAAGAATACAATCCTTAAGAGGTATTACACCATACGACTTTGGTTTGCAACATGAAAATCGTCGTCACATCGTTCTCTGTCACCCTCCGAGTCTCTTTGTTTCAGTCGCCTGAGAAACATCATCATCCTCTGAATCTGGGAGGAGCCCCGAACCAATAAAGAGGAAGCTGAAATGTGATGGTCTGCAGTGTCCTCATGTGGACACTTGCAAGAAATACATCAGCATCAAACGCCTAACAATATCACAACGACCCCCACATTCATGTTCTCCTAAACATTTTGCCAAATCTCAAGTAAAGATGCGCTTAGTATGGTCACTATTTATTATGTGGCTGCAATTTCGTTTCTACTCGCCACTAACTCCGAATTAAAGGAACCGATTGAGCACTTATTTAGCGAGTTAAATGCTTTTGAAACGGAAAGCAACTTGCTGGAAATTTAGAAACACAAAATTATGGCACAGGAAGTCCTCAGACAAATGCTCACCTCACGCACACCCACACACAATAGGGACAGCAGAGACGTAGTTATTTTCCGGAAGAATAATTAAATCTGAGAGTATACACTTGCATAAAAATATGCATAAAGCTGTTCTACAAAATTGTTCTGTTGTCGAAAAAGAAGTTTCTCCATATGTCTTGTGGATTAATGAGTACAGGGACCACACTAACACAAACTTGAGTTCAGCACCATGGATAGCGGCGTTCTCCTCAAAAATGCCGAATATGTAGCACAAATTGTTGCAATCTGTGATCACAAAGGTCTTTATTATTTTTCTTTTATGTGAGTCCGGGAAATTACCCGCCCTTTTTTAAAACTGCAATTGCTAACTGACAACAACAAATATTTTAAACACAGATAGTTTGGAGACGAATACATTGTAGTACGCATCATATTCGATGTGTGTAAATGTACTCATAAATATTGTGCACTTAAATAGGTACTTTCTTTAACTTTTATGTCCCTACAACTGCGACCAACACACATTCATACACTACCGTTCAGCACTGCATTTAATAAACAACTTGCGCATTAAAATACCGAATGGGACGTCATCAGTTAATGAGGTGAGGAAATCATCGTTGAGTGTACAGTAGGGTATAGTTATATAAGATATCCCACTGTATTTGTATTTGACATTATTTCAATGTTAAATCAAATGGTTGTTCTAATTGCATTTACTTTTCACCTCCATACACAGCGCACTTAAAAATAGCCTGAATACAACGGCACTATTTCTCCTTCAGATCGCAACATAGAAACGGTAAAGAAAAATGTACTTAACGCAATAATGTCCTTACCTTTTCTTTGTTGGGTAAAGTCTGAGTTCTTGTAAAAGTGTCTCCTCCGTTAATACTGATCAGCTCCGCATCTACAGGCGGAAACGGTGCAGGGAAAACCACTACGTCACTCTTGAGTGTGTCTGAGCTGAAACACACGTCATACTGCTGCGTAGCTTTGGAATAAGACCAGCTCCCGTCAGGGTGGGTGGTGATCATTGGGGCGCTGTACCTGCTGAAAGTGCCGTCTGTCCTGTGGCATTTGACAGCTATTAAACTGATGAGGCTGAGCAGAAAGATGACTGACACCGACACAATGGCGATCAGCAGATACAGGTTCAGCGCAGAGAAGCTGTCCTCCTTTATGGGCACATGTCTGAACTGAGTCTGGATGTCAGCTGTGCTCTCAACCACCACCACCTCAATAGACACAGTAGCTGACAGGGAGGGTTCTCCGTTATCAGACACCAACACCACCAAGGGGTGAGTTTTCAGGTCATTGTCACTCATTCTCCTCTTAGTCCTGATTTCTCCGGTGCTGGTTCCGATGCGGAAGAGGTTGTTTCCTTTGGGCTCAGAGAGGTGATAAGAGAGCAGCGCATTGTATCCAGAGTCTGCGTCTACAGCCCTGATCTTTGCCACAAAGTATCCCGCTTCAGCAGAATAGGGGATGCTCTCACTGTTAACGGAGCCGTGCTCAGAATATGGCGCGAGAATTGTTGGATTATTGTCATTTTCATCCAGGATTAAAACGTTGACAGTCACGTTGCTGCTGAGCGGAGGAACACCAGAGTCTGTGGCCTGAACTTTAAACTGAAACGTTTTCAGCTCCTCATAGTTAAAAGACTGCAGGCTGACTATATCTCCAGTCTCTGAGTTGATGTTTACCATCGTAGATAACGGCAGTGAGTTACTGTTACTTTGTAGAAAAGAATAGCTCACCTGACCATTCTGATTGATATCAGCATCAGCTGCAGTCACAGTTTTAATAACTGCTCCCACTGGACTGTTCTCTTTAACATAAACATTAACCAGCGGCTCTGAGAAGCGAGGCGGATTATCATTGACATCAGAAACATGAACTGTCACTATGTTGGTGCTGGAGAGAGGTGGAGTCCCTTCATCAGTCGCTACGATGGTGACATTGTACTCGGCCACAGTCTCTCTGTCGAGCGGACCATCAACTACTAACGAATAATAATTTTTATAATTTGTCTCTAATTTAAAGGGAGCATCATTTGCAATGACAGCTTTTACTACACCATTTTTACCCCCATCTTTATCCAGTACAGACACAAGTGCTATAGCAGTACCTACTTTTGCATCCTCCTTCACTGTGTTTAGCAGTGACGTCACCGTGATCTCAGGAGCGTTGTCATTTAGATCCACCACTTCTACCAGCACTTTACAGTGAGCAGACATCGGAGGCTGCCCTTTGTCACTGGCCTGTGCATGAATCTCAAACGCAGGATTTTCTTCATAGTCGATTTGACCTCTGACCAAAATCGCACCTGTTTTAGAGTCAATTTGAAATACATCTAAAACACGATCCTGACCTTTTTTTCTCAGAGAGTATTCAATTTCACCGTTTGAACCCTCGTCTGCGTCTGTTGCATTAAGAGTGATCACAGTAGATCCTGTTGGCAAGTTTTCAGAAATTTGAATCTTGTACAAAGATCTACTGAAAACAGGATGGTTGTCGTTAGTATCCAAAACGTTGATAATAATTTGTGAGGTTCCCGATCTGGGGGGATTTCCTCCGTCTACTGCAGTTAGTGTGAGTTTGATCACAGAGTCACGTTCTCTGTCTAGAGATTTCTGCAATACTAATTCAGCAGATACACTATCTGCCCCTTTGTGAATATCTAAAGAAAAATAATCATTATTACTGAGCCTGTATGTATTAACACCGTTCTTTCCAACATCCAGATCCGATGCCTCTATTAGTCCAAATTTCACCCCTGGTAAAGTACTTTCTGCAATGTCGAGTGACTGTAATTGCTCAGAGAAAACGGGTGCATTGTCGTTTATATCTGATATAGTTATGTCTAACCGGTAAAGCTTCAGCGGGTCATTGATCACGGCCTCTACATTGACCGTACATTTTGCAGCCTTCGCACAAAGCTCCTCGCGGTCTATTCTTTCACTGACATAAATAACACCAGTCTTCAGATTTACATCGAAATATTTTCTCTTTGATCCAGCAACGATCTGAAACATACGAGGCTCTAACTCCTGCACATTGAGATTTAGATCCTTGGCGATATTTCCAACAGCAGTGCCCGGGTTTACCTCCTCTGAGACGGAATACGAGAGCTGTCCAGACACCGCTTCCCAGAAACAATTCAGCAGCACGGCCACGAAATATATCCGACAAAGTCTCGTTCTGCCTGAGAAATACATCATTACATCCAGCACGAAAAGGCATAAATCCCAGTCCGACCACTGCCGTCAAACAGTCATATTAAAAACGAAGTGCAAGGTTCCAGTTTATCGCATTTTTATCAGGCAGCAGGAGAATGTTTTTCAACCTCTTTTCTCTCGCCCTGCGCCTCTTTGTAACAAAGCCCAGAGAAACATCATCATCATCATCATCATCATCATCATCATCATCATCATCATCATCCTCTCTCTCTCTGGGAGGAGTCTTGTGCATGCTGAAATAACGTCAAGATGTCATGGTCTATAGTGTCCCCACGTGGTGATAGGAAATAACTGCATTCAACCTCTGACAGCAACAATGGAAAGACTCACCAACTATGTGAACTGAGCAATTTCATATTAACAAACATAATTTGATTAAACTGTTTCAAACAACAATAACTATTCATTTCGACATGATTCTCTCTGTCTCATTTCCTTATCTGTCTGTCTATATTTATTTATTTATCTTCTTTATTTTTATTTGAAGACTTTCACCTGAGAACTGATAGCCCAGCTAGAAAACTACATGAAGTAAAACCATGGCACACCTTCGGAGTAAAGCCCTGCAAAACACTAAATATGCAGAGAGAGGTGAAACTGTTGATTGCAAATACAAATCAAAATATTTTCCTATATTTTAAAAAAGAGAAAAATGCAGAGGAAATTAGGTTAATTAAATAAGCGTTTGAAAAATCTTCCATAAATATAATGACACGTTAAATCTGTCATGACTAAATACCCCTATTTAAAAAAAAAAAAAAAAAAAATCAAATATATGTGTCAGGAACTCACACTACCCTTTTCCCAATCCTTACATTTTCCGCGTTGCATTCCCTGGACCTCTGACAACACACTGATGGGACTGACTTCAGCACCATGGACAGCGACATGGATTTTCATGTATAGTTTAACAGGTTTATGAGCTTCAATGGCTCACGCACCACTGTGTATTTCAACACAAATCCAAAGCCAAAACCACAATAAACACATTTTGGAAAGTTAGCACAAAGTAATTTAACTTCATATACAAGAAAACCAAAACACGGAGAGACACGTTTTCAGGCTCAGCTCTTGTGATTATATGAACACATGTAGTTTTTCATAGTTTCTTACCTTTTCTTTGTTGGGTAAAGTCTGAGTTCTGGTAAAAGTGTCTCCTCCATTAATACTGATCAGCTCAGCATCTACAGGCGGAAACGGTGCGGGGAAAACCACTACGTCACTCTTGAGTGTGTCTGAGCTGAAACACACGTCATACTGCTGAGTAGCTTTGGAGTAAGACCAGCTCCCGTCAGGGTGGGTGGTGATCATTGGGGCGCTGTACCTGCTGAAAGTGCCGTCTGTCCTGTGGCATTTGACAGCTATTAAACTGATGAGGCTGAGCAGAAAGATGACTGACACCGACACAATGGCGATCAGCAGATAGAGGTTCAGCGCAGAGAAGCTGTCCTCCTTTATGGGCACATGTCTGAACTGAGTCTGGATGTCAGCTGTGCTCTCAACCACCACCACCTCAATAGACACAGTAGCTGACAGGGAGGGTTCTCCGTTATCAGACACCAACACCACCAAGGGGTGAGTTTTCAGGTCATTGTCACTCATTCTCCTCTTAGTCCTGATTTCTCCGGTGCTGGTTCCGATGCGGAAGAGGTTGTTTCCTTTGGGCTCAGAGAGGTGATAAGAGAGCAGCGCATTGTATCCAGAGTCTGCGTCTACAGCCCTGATCTTTGCCACAAAGTATCCCGCTTCAGCGGAATAGGGGATGCTCTCACTGTTAACGGAGCCGTGCTCAGAATATGGCGCGAGAATTGTTGGATTATTGTCATTTTCATCCAGGATTAAAACGTTGACAGTCACGTTGCTGCTGAGCGGAGGAACACCAGAGTCTGTGGCCTGAACTTTAAACTGAAACGTTTTCAGCTCCTCATAGTTAAAAGACTGCAGGCTGACTATATCTCCAGTCTCTGAGTTGATGTTTACCATCGTAGATAACGGCAGTGAGTTACTGTTACTTTGTAGAAAAGAATAGCTCACCTGACCATTCTGATTGATATCAGCATCAGCTGCAGTCACAGTTTTAATAACTGCTCCCACTGGACTGTTCTCTTTAACATAAACATTAACCAGCGGCTCTGAGAAGCGAGGCGGATTATCATTGACATCAGAAACATGAACTGTCACTATGTTGGTGCTGGAGAGAGGTGGAGTCCCTTCATCAGTCGCTACGATGGTGACATTGTACTCGGCCACAGTCTCTCTGTCGAGCGGACCATCAACTACTAACGAATAATAATTTTTATAATTTGTCTCTAATTTAAAGGGAGCATCATTTGCAATGACAGCTTTTACTACACCGTTTTTACCTCCATCTTTATCCAGTACAGAAACAAGTGCTATAGCAGTACCTACTTTTGCATCCTCCTTCACTGTGTTTAGCAGTGACGTCACTGTGATCTCAGGAGCGTTGTCGTTTAGGTCCACCACTTCTACCAGCACCTTGCAATGAGCAGACATCGGAGGCTGCCCTTTGTCACTGGCCTGTGCATGTATCTCAAAAGCTTGGTGTTCTTCATAGTCGATCTGTCCTCTGACTGAAATTGCACCTGTTTTAGAATCAATTTCAAATAAATCTAAAATGTGATCCTGACCTTTACTTCTCAACGAATACTCGATTTCAGCATTTAATCCCTCATCTGCGTCTGTCGCATTCAGAACTATAACAGTTTTACCTACTGCTAAATTCTCAGAAATGCGAGCCTTATATAAAGAGCTGCTGAAAACCGGAGCATTGTCGTTGTTGTCTAGAACGTTAATATTTATCTGAGACGTTCCTGATTTGGGTGGATTTCCTCCGTCGACTGCAGTCACCGTAAGTCTCACAGTACGTTGTTTCTCTCGGTCTAAAGCTTTCTGAAGCACGAGCTCAGCAGACACGCTCTCTCCTCCTTTGTGAACCTCTAAAGAAAAATAATCATTTGGACTCAGCTTGTATGTACTCACACTATTCTTACCAACATCCAGATCCGATGCCCCGACAAATCCAAATTTCCCACCTGGCACAGTACTTTCAGCAATGTTAAGAGACTGCACCTTCTCGGGGAAAAAGGGCGCGTTATCATTTATATCGACTATATTTACCTCCAAACGATAAAGCTTCAGCGGGTTGTTAATCACGGCCTCTACACTGACAGTACATTTTGTCGCCTTCGCACAAAGCTCCTCACGGTCTATTCTTTCATTCACATAAAGAACACCAGTTTTCAGATTTACATCGAAATATTTCCTCTTTGATCCGCTCACAATCTGAAACATACGTGCCTCTAAGTCGTGGACATTAAGGTTTAGATCTTTAGCGAGATTTCCCACAGAAGTCCCCGGGTTTACCTCCTCTGATACAGAGTATGAGAGCTGTCCGGACACCGCTTCCCAGCAGCAGTCCAAAAGAACAAGGACTATATATATCCCCAGCGGACTCCGTATCCACCGCGTCGACATATTTTTATCCAGCGTGAACAAAGCATATGGATTATAGTCTCCAAAATCCCGTCTAATAACTCAGGATGGAAGCAATGTGCCAGAATCCAGTTTCCTCGCCTTTTAGGGTGTAACAGACATAATGATGTCCAAACGGTCCATTCTCTCTCTGCGTCTCTTTGTAACAAAGCCCTGAGAAACATCATCATTCTCTGAATCTGGGAGGAGCCTGAAGCAACCGAGAGGAACATCAAAATGTGATGGTCTACAATGTCCTCGTGTGGTCGTTTGAAATAATTACATTCAACACCAGGAACAGATAAATATATGTTCTTCTGGACTTTCAAGTCAATATAATATATAAAATATACAGCTAACAAGAAGTCACAAATATCTGGACACAGATGTGTTAGTTGAAAAGCAGGATAAAGATTTAATAAATAGATAAAATGAAATAAAGAAACTATTGTACATTTCTGTATTTTCTTTTTAAGTAGTTGAATTGAGGTAATGCAGTTATTCAGAGAGACTCCTTCTTAAATTGTGGTGAAATCTTATATACATCACCTATCAACTGACTCATAGGGGAACACCACCTAAATTAAGATTCCCAGTATGTTATTTCCATGGCCGTGGAAAGTTCAATCACCATCTATAAACATGAGCTAATCTCTGTCAAAGCCAGACCCAGAGAGGTAAGTCTCAAATTTGTGATGTGGTCAAGTATAAAGTCTGGAGCTGCTTCTCTGATAATGAATGGGGGCCTAATTTTGTAGATGTATAAATTTTGAAAGTCAGCATAGTCACGCTTTAAATAACTGAGACAACTGCAGTAAATATACTCTGTTAATAGCACTCACCACACTCTGGCGCTTATTTCAGCACCACGGACAACGACATACATACTGCAGTGTTAAATTTCATTAAGAAAAGTATAACACGATGGTACTTGCTCTCAGCCGCAGCCCAGAATTATAAAATAATACATCACTTAAAACATGTTACTTTTATTTTTCTTACCTTTTCTTTGTTGGGTAAAGTCTGGGTTCTGGTAAAAGTGTCTCCTCCATTAATACTGATCAGCTCAGCATCTACAGGCGGAAACGGTGCGGGGAAAACCACTACGTCACTCTTGAGTGTGTCTGAGCTGAAACACACGTCATACTGCTGAGTAGCTTTGGAGTAAGACCAGCTCCCGTCAGGGTGGGTGGTGATCATTGGGGCGCTGTACCTGCTGAAAGTGCCGTCTGTCCTGTGGCATTTGACAGCTATTAAACTGATGAGGCTGAGCAGAAAGATGACTGACACCGACACAATGGCGATCAGCAGATACAGGTTCAGCGCAGAGAAGCTGTCCTCCTTTATGGGCACATGTCTGAACTGAGTCTGGATGTCAGTTGTGCTCTCAACCACCACCACCTCAATAGACACAGTAGCTGACAGGGAGGGTTCTCCGTTATCAGACACCAACACCACCAAGGGGTGAGTTTTCAGGTCATTGTCACTCATTCTCCTCTTAGTCCTGATTTCTCCGGTGCTGGTTCCGATGCGGAAGAGGTTGTTTCCTTTGGGCTCAGAGAGGTGATAAGAGAGCAGCGCATTGTATCCAGAGTCTGCGTCTACAGCCCTGATCTTTGCCACAAAGTATCCCGCTTCAGCAGAATAGGGGATGCTCTCACTGTTAACGGAGCCGTGCTCAGAATATGGCGCGAGAATTGTTGGATTATTGTCATTTTCATCCAGTATTAAAACGTTGACAGTCACGTTGCTGCTGAGCGGAGGAACACCAGAGTCTGTGGCCTGAACTTTAAACTGAAACGTTTTCAGCTCCTCATAGTTAAAAGACTGCAGGCTGACTATATCTCCAGTCTCTGAGTTGATGTTCACCATCGTAGATAACGGCAGTGAATTACTGTTACTTTGTAAAACTGAATAGCTCACCTGACTGTTCTGGTCAACGTCAGCATCAATTGCAGTCACGGTTTTAATAACTACTCCTATTGGACTGTTTTCTTTCACATATACATTAATCAGCGGCTCTGGAAACAGCGGTGGGTTATCATTAACATCAGAAACGTGTATAGATAGCACACTGGTGCCGGAGAGTGAGGGGGTTCCACTGTCAGTGGCGATTATGGTGACATTATAATTAGAGACCCTCTCTCTGTCCAGGGGTCCGTCAACTATCAAAGAATAATAATTTTTGTAGTTTGTTTCGAGTTTGAGCGGAACCTCATTTTTAATTTGAATTTTCACATCACCGTTTTTCCCACCATCCTTATCCAGGACTGACACTAGAGCAACTACGGTACCTACATCAGCATCCTCCTTCACTGTGGTGTGTAGTGACGTCACTGTGATCTCAGGAGCATTATCATTTACGTCCACCACTTCTACCAGCACTTTACAATGAGCAGACATGGGAGGCTGCCCTTTGTCACTGGCCTCTACACGTATCTCAAAAGCCTTTTTTTCCTCAAATTCTACATTGCCTTTCACCTTGATGACACCCGTCTGACTTTCAATTTCAAAGATATCAAGCACATGATCTTGATCTTTGCTTCTCAGTGAATATACAATCTCACTGTTCAGGCCCTCATCTGCATCTGTAGCGTTCACAGTGATCACTATTGTACCCAGCGGGGTGTTTTCTGGGATTTTTGTCTTGTATAACGTCTCGCCAAATATCGGGATGTTATCGTTATTGTCTAAAACATTAACAACGAGCTGTGATGTGCCTGATTTCGGAGGATTCCCTCCATCTACAGCGGTCAGTGTCATGGTGATGACAGGCTGCTTCTCTCGGTCTAAAGCTTTCTGCAGCACCAACTCAGCAGACACACTGTCTCCTGCTTTGTGCACAGCCAAAGAGAAATGCTCATTTTGGCTTAATTTATAAGTACTGACACCGTTTCTCCCCACATCTACATCACTTGCTTCAGATAATGCGAATTTCACTCCTGGTAAAGTACTCTCCGCGATGTACAGATTCTGCAATTTGCTCGAAAACAACGGAGCATTGTCATTTACATCTAAAATGTCTACGTCGATACGGTAAAGCTTTAAAGGGTTATTTATGACGGCTTCTACACTCACTGAGCATTTAAGTTCCTCTGCGCAAAGCTCCTCTCTGTCTATTCTCTCACTGACATACAGAACACCAGTCTTTAGATTTACCTCGAAGAATTTCCTCTTTGATCCAGTGACAATTTGAAACATACGCGACTCCAAATCCCGTGAATTAAGGTTTAGGTCCTTAGCGATATTTCCAACAGCAGTCCCCGGGGTTACCTCCTCTGAGACGGAATAAGAGAGCTGCCCAGACACCTTTTCCCAGAAACAATAGAGCAGAAAGAGCACAAGATATATCCCGAAATAGCTCCATCGACAAGGCGAAGACATATTTCTGTCCAAAATGAGCAAAGCATGAATATGACTCCCAGTGTGACTCCCAAATATCAGCCGTGGTGAGCTCTAGATATGATTGAAAAATGCTATGTTTATTCCACCGTCCTCCCTCTGTAACAAAGACTAGAGAAATGTCCCAGTCGCCTTAAAACGGGAGGGGCCTAGTTGTATTTAGAGAGTAGCGCTTTCTCTGATGGATCAACAGTGGCGCCACGTGGTGAAATAGACGACATACAGGGAGCAGTGGAAATGTAATGTTGCCTGCTCTGAAGCAGCCATTACGTCACACTATCAATATTGATAACTATATGCTGCTGAATAACCTAATTTAAGTAGGAGAGCTTAAAATTATATTTCAGCACCATGGACAGCGCACAAGAGCTGTTGTGCCTGTCCTGATGTGTGAGAGCTGTTCTTCACATATTTAGACATGGTGTAACCCCCTAAACACACACACACACACACACACACACACACACACACACACACACACACACACACACACACTCCACATCATCTTCCACTTTTCCACCACATTGCCATTTATTTAATTTAGGCTGCAATTTGCAAACATGTGGAGTAAACTATGTCAGTAAATGTTACAGCCACTTTTGGTGAAATAATGACACTGGGTTTCCACGGATACCAGAAAACATCCCAATAAATTAGGGTTATCCTGCTCTGGAGGCAATTTCACACCTTAGTCCTCTGTTAAAAAGTGTCAGCCAGTCTTTGCCAAATAATTAAGACTTCCATCTTCCATTCATGCCCTTTTTTGTTATCACATTACCACCTGTGTGTGTAAATAATTATTTCAGCCATAGCAAACTACATTTGCACAGCTGCAACATAAGGTTGAACACTGGCCAGAAATTGTAGTCCACATCACTCTCTTCCTCTTGTATCCATCCTCAACCTTGAGGGTAATAAATAATGTTAATTGGACCCTATTGTTCTCCTGCACGCACATCGTGTGCCGTGGTGCATTTCGGTGTATTTCAGCATTTCTCCACATTTCCACAGACAGTAGTCATGAGCTTTTGAACATTCCCTCGTTTGTAATCCCAGGATTAAGCCCCGGGTTCAGAAACTCCTGTCCTATTTCCATTCTGTAGGAAACATGATTTGATTTGAAAATATTAATAACCATCACACACTGAGCCGCAGTTATCCGTTAACCCCAAAAATGCAATAATAATAATAGCTCTCAAAGAATGTCCTGTGTGCTCAATTTCCCTAATGTATGGAAAGAGAATATAGCATGTACTGTGTACAGGGACACAGATTTCAGGTTATTTACATACATACACACAGACACACACACACACACACACACACACACACACACACACACACACAAATACATACAAACACCACATGGCCCATCAGACCAAGACAGTCTGTGATGAAATTCAATGATTCATAGTTTATTTGTAGGTCACTGTCTATACTGCCCTGACCTCACAGGACTTCAATCTGGATCATCACACTCATAAAAATCAGCATGACACACATGGACCACTGACGCTACATTTAACTCAGCACTGGAAAGAGAATTTAGCTTTATTGTAACAGGGATTTCTGCTGACACTGTGACCTTGCTTTGTAGGCTGAATGTGAACAAGCATTTTAAATGTGTGTCAAAGTACATGTCCTGCTGCCAGTCACACCCTTCCAAGAAATTATAAACAGCTACAAGAGTGTCTGCATTTACATCAGACAAGCAAAACATAGTACTGCATTTA